ACCGAGGTAGGACTCAAGCCTGGGCCCTCCGACCCCAAAGCCTCAAGCTGCTGAGTTACAGGCTCTCGGTGCCCACACCCCCCGGGACCAGCTGCTGCCCTCCAACCCTCCCAGCCTCCCAGGCCGCCCGCCCTGGCCTGCCCCTGGGCCTGACTCAGCTGTTCTGGGAGACTGGGCTGCAGGCCAGGAGGATGGGCTGGGTCCTCTCAGAAACTCTAGCTCAACTCCTGCTCCTCTCTCTGACCCTGGCTCCCTGCTCCACCTCACCCTCTTCCCAGCAGAGACAGCCAGGCTGGGTGCCAGGCCTGCCTTCAGCCTCTCACAGGAGCTGGATCGCTTTTAGAAACCTCGGTGCTTCCAGGATACTCATTCACTTTCCATTCTAAAAAAAATTGCCAGCTACTGTGGGTGCCCTGGAGGAGGAGAGCGGCTGGGTGTCAGTGAAGGGATGGGAGAGCCGCGGGAAGCAGAATATGGGAGCCATGGTAGGTGATGGGGAGGACCTGTGGGTCCACGGAAAGAGGTGGGTGTCTGAGGGACTGCGGGATGGGCTTGAGGAACGGGGTGGGTGTGGGCAGGAGGCAGGTGAGGGTGCTGGGAAGCATCAGGTTCATGCTGGCCTTATGAAACCTGTTTGGCGCATTCCTTCATGTCCCATTTTCTGCTCCAGTTTGTATAAGAGTGTTGCTTTGAGTACAGGTGCCCTGGGTTCCTGCAATCTTCCAGGATAGAGACCAAGGGAGATCACCTGAAACCCACAGAGACAAAGGTTTATTTAAGCTCCTGCACAGGGAAGCCAGTGCCAAAAGGGAAAGGAGACTGGCTGCTTCCCGTCAGAGGCCCTCTAACCTTTGGGGAGAATTTAAAGAAGTTTAGGCGGGAAAAGTTCCCACCTAAGCATGTAGAGGCAGGGGCTTCGGGCGCTTCCTCAATGTAACCACAGGCTTCTCGCCAGGCTTGTCTTATTAGCATATTAAGTACCCACCCAAGGGTGTGTGTTCTAGTATTTAAATATGGGAGGGTCACCCAAAGGATAGTGCTCATTGCTGGGGGGGGGGAACTAAGCCCCCCGGAGTAAATCCTGTGGAGGGCAGGCCTAGGGCAGGTGTTAGGGGGAGGGGCCTGCCCATCTCAGTTTTATGCTTAAACTTTTCTAAGAGTTAATCAACGATGCCAATGGGGCCTGGGGTTTTCTTGGTGAGAAGTATTTAAACATTTCTCCAAAGATGATATACACGCAGCCACCAAGGCCATGAAAAGATGATGGACATGCTGAGTCATTAGGGGAGGGGAGTGGAAACCACAGGCCTCTTCACACCCACCTGTACACGGCGTTCATAGCTCAGTTATTCCTAATGGGCTAAAATGGGCAGTGACCCAAAGGTCTGTCCACTGCTGAATGGCAGTGTGTGGGCCTCCGCTGTTGGTGGGAATGCTGGGGCCCTCGCCTGGGCCACTGTTCCTTGTGGCGACCGCCGTAGACATTTCCTCCACTGCAGTCATGTTGTTCCCCCCCCTTCGAGTTATGATTGCAGGTTACGGCTCAGCAAAAACCATTAGAGAACTGTTAAGAACAAGATGGATTACTCACAGGTCCTGGAGGGTGCACGGCATGCCAGAGGCCACACAGCGAGTGGGGGGGAGGCGTGGACCTGGGGTTCAGCCTTTATTAGAGTCCAGGGGTGGGTGTCTAGGGTTTGGAGGGTTCACTCTTTATTGGCGAATTTAAAGCATAAGAGCAGGAATCAGCGCAGAAAGGGGACGCACGGGGCACCAAGCTGTCAGTTATCTAGGCTCCCTGGGACTTTTCTAGAGGGAAAAGTGATGCGTGTGAGCTATTGTTTCCTTATCTGCTCGTTTTGCTAGTAGCTGTGTCATTCTTCTGGCAGTTTGTTTCCTGTAGATGGGTGCCTTTGATATGACGACTTGGCTTAACGTCAGGCATTTACAATACAATCAGAAGCTTAATGCCAGCCACCTTCAGCACAGGGAGTGAACCAGACGCGCACGGCCACCAGGAACCGCGACTGCCACTGAGAGGAACGCCGAAGCATGCTACCACCCGGGGAACCTGGAAAACCTGAAGCTGAGTGGAAGACACAATGACCCAGCACAGGCAAATCCACGGAGACAGAGCAGATCGGGGCTGTGAAGCGGCTGGGGAAAGGGTGCTTGGGGGTGACTGCTGATGGGTGCGGGCTTTCTTGTTGGGCCGAAGGAAATGTTTTACAATTAGTGCTGATGGTTGCACACTATAAATATATACACTTAAACCCACCGATTAAAAGAATTAAATCAAAAACTCTGTTATGTGAATTTTACTTTAAAATATTAATAGTAAAAAGTTAAAACTAGGCACTGAAAAAACAAAACAAAAAAACAGCCATAGATTTATTAGCTCCATGGCTGTCATCGAAGTACCGTGGAGTCAGGCAGCGTCTCCGCTTGGTTGGCACTAAAGAAAAACCAAGTCACCAGGAGTACACGCCACGCATTTTAAAAAACTGAGCTGCCCTGGTCCAGTGGTTCGGTTGGTTGGAACATCACGCCAATGGACCAAGGTTTGGGGTTCATTCCCAGGTCAGGGCACACAGAAATCAACCAATCCATGTTTCTCTGTCCCTCTCTTTCTCTCTCTCCCTCTCCCCTTTCCTGGCTCTCTCTAAAATCAATTAAAAAACAGTAGGCTAATTGTGTATGCAGTTACGTATCTTTGGGGTGTTTTTCCCTTTAACACTATGTTGCGAACATTTTCCATGTCATTCCAAAGTCTTTAAAATATATTTAAAAAAACAAAAGACATTGGACTAAAAATCTTGAGACACTCAGACACTGCACTAATTTTCTGCCATTAGAAAGTCAGGTGAATCTATGGGGCCTGACACAGAAAGATTTCTAAACTTTTTTTATGTTGAAAAGGCAAAATAATGCAAGTTATTTATACATGTAAGTTAAAACAGAGAAGAAAATGTTTATTTTTCAATGAGCACTGACACGTGTGAAATGTTCCAAGCACTGAGTCAAATACTGACTCACTTGATGGTTTTCATCACCATTTCATAGATGAGGAAATTGAGGCCTAGAGGCAATCATCCCTCCCAGAGTCCCATAGTAAATAGCAGGGGCGAGGTCTGACCTGGGGACACCAGAGCAGAGCTCCTGCTCCCCCAGCACCTGCCACCTCCATCATGGCCCTGCACACATGCTCTTCTAGGCACAGAACCTTCTGGGGGGTCACACTGACACTGTCGATACTTTGGTTTTAAGGGGAGGAAGACAGGGCCGAGAATGGGAAGGAGCTTTGCTTTTTATTTTATTTCCATGCATAGGATTCTGGAAAGGGACAGGTCTGGATGTAGTAACACAAAGTAGAGAAAAAGTGAGTGGACAGCCCCTCTTGCTCTGGCCTCCTCAGGGGAAACACAGTCAAGAGTTACTTCAGGGCCCCCTCTAGTCAGCGGTGGTGGGTGGGGGACCTGACAGCCTGGAGATGGTCGAACCTTCAATCAAAGGCCATTTCTGCTTCAGCCCCTCAGCCTAGCCACACCCATGAGCCCCACATTTCCCCCAAGGTCAGGGAGGGCACTGGGGGGGTGGGGTCGTGTTCCTCTGAGGCCCGTTTGGGGACACCCCACTGCAGTGACCCAGAAGTCCCTGCATTTTCTGTCCAGTCTTCATAGGATTGTTTACAAATAAAATTAATACACGGAAAAGAGTTTTAATTTCTTTCACAATTTAGTCTGGAGAGGACAGAAGGCATTTGCGACCTCTGTCCAGGGTCCTGGACGTCCCTCGACCCGACCGAATCATTGCCCTAGACTGGGGGGGGGGCCGTGCGATCCTCAGGGTGTGTCCTGGGCACCCCTTCTCCCTGAACCCGGGTCCCTCTTTCGCGAATGTGACTGCGGTTGCCTCCCGTGTATTGTAGTTGGGAGAGTCCAGGGCCTCGCGGAGGAATTTCCACGCGCGGTTTGGGGTGAAAGTGGACAACTGGAAATGCTGGCACCTCTTTGGATTATTCTGAGACTTTTTTCTTCTTCGAGGTAAGTAAATTCTCCCTGTGTGAGAGTCCCAGCCTCCCACAGCACAACTCACTGGTGGTGGGGACTAGTGGAGAGTCCAGCCCTGGGCTGAGTTGCAGGAGAGGCTAATTTTCTGTCCCCTGCGCCGGGGACTCCCTGGATCACACTCAGAGCCACCCGAGGGCACCGAGCCCGCAGCCCGCCAGGGGCCGGCCCGGCTCTGCCTCC